TCCTTGCAGACACACACACACACACACATTCTTACCTTCCATTTCCTATATCAGTTGACTCTTCATGTATTTCAGGGATCTTGACAGCGACTGGCTGCCTGGCAGCGCATCACTCAGTGGGAAGTGCACTCTCTGCCGCCCTGCTCCACTTTCTTAATTAATCCCTCCCATGTGCCCACGCACAGGGCAAGGATGGGGGCGCACAGATGCTGCGCCTGCACGCTACCACGCTGCAGCCAGGCGCCGGCCACGAGGTCATTCAACACTTTGTGAATAACTGCTGTGTTGCGGCCGTTGTCACCTGGCTGCCATCCTGATCCCCATTCTTAATTTTACTGTTACTGGCCATTTGGCCAGTTTTACCATTTGTTACTGGGTCTGTCTGTCAGACCGACCCAGACAGAATTAGCCACAGGCTTGCCAGATGCACCCCCAGGGAGCTGTCACACTAGGCCACCGCCTAAGTGGCCTAATGTAAGCGCTGGCCTTAGGGGTGGTGCTTTATATTTAAACAGGACCTAATCTATACTCTTCAGTGAACGGCGCTAGCCCTGCCCCAGGGAGCATGACTTTTACTCCTTTCCCTATATAAAACCTCTCAATGTCTCAAACAGTGCTTAGATGTACTTTGAGATGCACTTATTTTGTTATTATTTCTACCTGCCTTACCCTATTTGATTAGTGTCTTACAGTGACTTTGGCCTCCCACTGACGATGAACCTCAGCCACCTGGCAAATTTGCTTTGGATTTGATACTTGAACTTATTTCCTTTTAAATGATCCACTGTACATTGTCACCTCTCTCCTCTGCAATTCACTGCTTACTGTTCCCCACTTAGAACACATAAAACAATGGTTGCTTTTCCCTCATGCTGTGCATAGACTGAATTAGATTGTGATGCAATTTGCTAAATCTTTCATATAAATTTTAAAAAGCAGAAAGCCCATTTTCTTGGTTAACTCTGAATTATTGATTCAGGTGGAGAGGACTAAACCTAATGAATTTATCTGGTCTAATCACGCAGACATTGTAATGTATATCCCTTTTGGACTTGGTGTCATCTTGGACCTGGAGGTTGAACTTCTTGTGGCGATGGGACCAACTAAAAGTTTGTAGATGATGCGATTGCCTTTTTTTCATTACTTTTTTAAAAATTATTCACTGAATAGATTTTAGGATAGAGGTATTCTATCAAAAGGGTTTGAAGTCTTACATTCTGCTTGATTTGCAGGGAGCTCTAAGAAAATAAGAAAATAAACATAAAACAGTTCGATCAAACACCTTCTCTTGTACGATGTAGCTCAACAAATTATGTGGTCCAGATGATTGTTGTATGAAAAGGCTAATAAACTGGCTCTACGTTGGCCAGAAGGCTGAAGCCGAAAACTTAGAATCCCTCCCATTAAGCGTTTAAAAGCATCAGTGGTGTCTTAGTCACTACTCCGAATATATATATTTTTTTTTGTTTGTTTTTTTTAATTTTTTTTATTGGTTTTCCATTTTCATAACAGTAATTATGTGTACATTAATTACATCCGAATCCACAACAGCGTGGTTTTAACAGGTAATGTTGCAAAACATTTACAGTATATTGATAATCATTATTCAGATGATGACATATAGTGAGACCCGGACAGGCATTAGACAATTAACGATGATTATTGGATAGGATATGTTTCTTTCAGTGTAGTTTTGTGTTCCTGGGAACATTTTGTTTAGTTTGGAGGGCGTGTAGTGCCAGCGGGTTAGGCGTTTATAGTTACTTTCCTGGTTGGAGGTTGCAGTGGATATATTGTGGATTCTGGTGAATATGTGTTTCCATTGCTCCCCTGAAATGTCTAAATTCATTTCTCTCGTCCACTTAGTGGCGAAAACAGGAATATCTGTTTTGTCTGAGTGTAACATTAATTTGTACATTGTAGATAACAATTTCTTTTTTAATGGATGTGTTGTACATAGCTGTTCAAAGGTTGACAATTCTCTGTTTCCCCCTGGCAGTAGCCTCTGGCTCCCCATGAAGTGTTTCAATTGTGCATAACGTAATTGTTGCATGCTCGTGGGGGGTCGGCCGAGAGTTAGATCTTGCAGTGTTAGTAATGCATTACCCTCGGTCATGTCCCGGAGAGTTATGTTTGCGGCCCCTCGGTGAATCTCGTAAGTTCTACCTGTGATACCTGATGGCATCAGTGGGTTACGCGTAATATGGTATCGTGGTGATGGGTATGGTGCTATATTTGTGGAATTATTTACCTTTGACCAAGTCTGTAGTGTAGCTAAGATGAGTGGGTGTTTTTTATGTCTGATAAGTGCGGTGTTCAGTTTGTGCCATGGAAGTGATTCAAGGGGTGCTAGGCATTGTTCCCTCTCTATGTTTACCCACTGCTGGGAGGGTTTTTCTTTCGTCCACTCATATATCCTTGACAGGTGCACTGCTTTATAGTATTGTTCTATGTCAGGAATGCCCATTCCCCCTTTCTCCCGTGGTTGAGTTATGTAGCGTTACTTACCTTAACCGGGGGCCGGTCGCGGTCCTCTCTTCAAGCCGCGCGCGGTCCTGCGGCTGCACGAGCCGCGCGCGGCTCATCCAACTACTTCGGATGGAAGGCGGGCAGTGACCGCGTGAGGCGGTCACGTGTCCCGCCTGAAACTAAGAGCGCGCCGCGAGTCTCGGGCGCGCTCTTAAAGGGACAGTGGGTGCCTAAATTGGAAAAGGCATCCCATTGGTCCCTGTCATGCCACACTCCCCATACACTTACCTTTTGGGGGCGTGGATGTGACAGGGACCAATCAAATTAGATGTTTAGGTATTTATACTCACCTTCTTCCCTTTGTTCCTTGCCCTATCGTGGTTTCTGTTTCAGTTCCCTTTAGCGCTTGTGGTGTTCAGTTGTGTTTTCTCGTATTGACTTTGGCTTCGTATTCTGACTTCGTTTTCGCTTTATCCTTATCTGTACTGTTTGCCGGCTTGCTGTTTTCCGTGTACCAGACCCCGGCTTGTCCTAGTTTACGCTGTCTCTCTGTGCCCTTGACCTCGGTTTGTTCCTGGCTCTGTCTTCTCTCATATACGTCAAGTCCGGCCATTCTAAGGTCCGGTAGACGTATCTCTCCTCTGTATTTGCCTCTGTTTAGCTGGATCCTGCGTGTAGGGGTATATTCTCGTTACAAGTTAAGAGTCGTAGTGGTAATCTAGGTTTGGCTTGTGACCAGATGAAGGATGTTAACGCCCCTCTGATTGCCGAGAAGAAACTAACTGGCAGCTTTATGGGAACTGTTTGTAACGTATAGAGGATGCGTGGCAGTATCATCATTTTTATGATGCTTATTCTACAAAACCATCCGTAGGATGGCTTATTCCAAGCCTTAAAATCTTTGGAGACGGCTTCTAGTAGTGGTGTGTAGTTTAAGTCATAGAGATGTTTTAGTTGAAATGGTAGGTGAATTCCGAGATATTTTATGGATGACGTTGTCCATGTAAAATTGAAATTTTTCTGTATGTACTTATCTGTATCTATGGTTGTGTACAGCGGTAGGATCTCACATTTTGTGAGGTTTGCTTGGAAGTTCGAGACATCACTGTACGCACTCATTTCCTCCAGGATATGCGGAATAGAGTGTAGTGGTTTAGAGATCGTGAATAGCAAGTCGTCTGCGAAAGCAGAGACTTTGTAATCTATATTTCCTATTGTGATGCCGTGTATAAGTGGGTTTTTTCGTATTCCCTGAATGAATGGTTCTAACACAAGGATAAAAATCAGTGGGGAGAGTGGACATCCCTGTCTGGTCCCGTTCCTAATATATATCGTTTCTGAGAGCTGGCCATTGATGCGTATTCGGGCAGTTGGTGTGGAATATAGTCTCCCCAACCATTCCAGCCACCTAGGTCCAAAGCCCAGATGTTCCATCGTGGCCGTCATGAGGGACCAATCCACCCTATCAAATGCCTTTTCCGCATCAATAGCCAGCAGTACACTCTGAATCTTGTTGACTTTTGCCCAATGCATTATGTTGAGGATTTTCATAGTATTGTTTTTGGCCTCCCTCCCCGGCACAAACCATGATTGGTCTTGGTGTATCAGGTCAGGGAGAAGCGGTTTCAGTCGGTTGGCCAGGATTTTGGTGAAAAGTTTTAGATCTACATTCATTAGGGAAATTGGTCTATAGCTTCCACAGTTTGTAAGGTCCTTGCCTGGTTTGGGCAATAGTGTTATGGTGGCATTTAACGTCTCTTGTGGTACCTGACTCGAGGTTTGTGTAGAGTTAAATGCTCGCACAAAGGGTTCTGCTAGAGTTTGTTGTGTAACCTTATAGTATTTGCCTGTAAAGCCGTCTGGCCCAGGACTCTTTCCTAGTGGGAGTTGTTTAACTACATCATGGAATTCTGCAGTAGTGATGGGTTTGTCTAGAAATTCCGCCCAGTTGCGTGGGATAGTAGTGTTTATTCGGCTGGCTAGAAAGTCTTTTATCTTGTCCATGGGGGGCACCGTGTCCCTTATATTATAAAGGGAGGAGTAATAGGTGTGGAAAGCTGACATGATTTTTGGCATTAATTGTGTCACTGAGCCATCTGGTTGTTTAATGTGTGATATGAATGTTGATTGCCTTTGTTGTTGTAGAGATTGCGCGAGTAGTTTCCCACATTTGCCCCCTTTTGTAAAATATGTGTGTTTGGTCCTCTGCACAGATCTGGTGGCCTGTAAATTGAGGATGGTTTTGAGTTCCGCCCTCTTAGCTAGTAAATTGTTGTAAGCTTGTATCGTAGTGTCCTTACTGTGATTGAGCTCTAGGTTTCTTATTTCCCGAGTTAAAGATGTTATATTGGCCTCCCTAAGCTTTTTCTGAGCTGAGGCTATTTTAATGATTTCTCCTCTAAGGACGCATTTGTGGGCTTCCCATACCACCTCTTGCCTAGTGTCCTGGTTTGAATTGGTTTCAAAGTATCTCTGTGCGCTTGTTTTAATTTGTTCTATGACCTCCTCTTTATTTAGGAGAAGATCATTCAGTTTCCATTGTGGGGCGGCCCTGTTTAGCAAGGGTATCGTTATATCTAGGGTCAGTGGGGCATGGTCTGACCATGTGATAGGACCATATGATGCTGATTTTATCAAATTGAGGTAATCATGTGGCAAGAGTAACATGTCTATTCTAGTATAAGTGCCGGAAGTTGTGGAGTAGAATGAGTAATCTCTACCAGTGGGATGCATTGCCCTCCAGCTGTCATACAGTCTGGTCTCATGTAGGATATCGAGTATTCGGCTACGAGTGGGCTCTAGGTACGCGCTAGATGTTGCGGATGTGTCTAGTTGGCCGTCCAATGAGATGTTCAGGTCCCCCCCCACTACCAATAGACCTTCCTTAAAGTCCCACAGTTTGTGGAGTATTTTTCTTAGGACCACACTTTGTTTTTTATTAGGTAAATAGAGGTTTGCTAGCGTGATATTGGTGTTGCCTAATTTTCCTTTAATGAAAATGTACCTGCCTGCGTCATCATTTAGTTGTCCTGTAAGGGTGAACGTAACTTGTCTCTCTAGTAGAATCGCCACTCCCCTTGCTTTAGCTGCAGTATAGTGACTGAAATAACCCGTGGGGTATTTGCGGTTTCTAAGTGAGGGTGCCTGGTTCTTGCGAAAATGTGTTTCTTGTACAAAAACGATATCTGCGTGATATCTCTGGAAATCTGTGAGGGCGAGTGACCTTTTTTTCTGGGGTATTCAGCCCCTTGGCATTCTGGGAGTGTATACGAAGGGTCAATGGTTGTTCTGTGTTGGATGTGTGAATTTGAGGGTTCGTGGGTCCAGTTTGTGGAATCCCCGTCTGAGTATCCCTACCTGCCATCTTGTTCCCAGTTATTGGGGGTTTGCTTTTCACTTATTAATCAACAGTTATACAGTAACAGCAACAATATAAACAGAATATCAAATTATAATATCAAAATAATGAACTACTGAGGATCCACGAGGGTCCTCAGACACCTGTCCTCTTGTAGCTAGAGGACTTACTATAGGTAATCCTAAATAACACACTTAAAGTTATTCTCTCGTGATAATTGTACCAGTACCATCCCTCCACCAGTCAATCCTGTTGCTGCAGACGGAGGGTGTGGGGTGGAGAGCCTAGCGAGGATCATCCCTTTGGTTCCCCATCATTCTGCTCCTGGGGGAGAAGGGTCTTTGGTCGGTCCTTCTTTTCTTGGCAGGGGTAGTCCATCTTTGTCTTTGGGGTAGTATAGAAGAATCTTGGTTTGGTTGAGGTGCATACCAATCCGGGATGTTGGTGTTTGGCAGTTCCAGAGCTCTCAGGAATGGTTTTACATCCAGATGAGAAGCTATGGAGTGCATCACTCCTTTGTGGTGAACAATCAGTGCGAATGGGTATCCCCACCTGTATTTCATGTTGCGGTTGCGTAATAGCTCTGTGATCGGTTTTAGTGCTCGCCTCGCTTGTAGCGTGAACCACGATAGATCTGGAAAAATTTGTATGTGGTTTTCGTGGTACATAAGAGGTTGGGATGTTTCTCTGAGGGCCCTGAGAATGGTGTCCTTCACTGAGAAGTAATGGAGCCTGCAGATTACATCCCTTGGGGCTTCAGCCGTTGCTCCTCTAGGGCGCAGTGATCTGTGAGCTCTATCCATTAATATTGGGTTATCCACAGGGTCCCCCAGTATAAGATTAAATAATTCTGTCAAAGTAGCCATCAAATCTTCCCCCTGCATTTCAGGAAGGCCTCTTATTCTCAGATTATTTCTCCTGCTCCTATTGTCTAAGTCATCTAGCTGCCTCTGCATAGAGGACAGGGTCAGAGCTTGTGATACTAATGTGGAGGCATTATTTACAATCTGGGCCTGCATTACATCCTTTTCTTCTTCTAAGTCTGTAACTTTAAGACTTACTTGCTGTATGTCTGTGCCCATGGCGTCGATTTTAGATTGCAGGGCTGCTTCTAATCTGCCAATCATATTGGCCATGTCTGCTTTGGAGGGCAGGTTCCTCAGCATATCTTTTATGTCAGGATCAGTTGCCTGTGTGAGGGTACCGCATGAGCCCTCTGATGGTGCCGGGCTTGATGGTGCCGATTCCGCCGCCATATTGGAATTTACGGCCTCGTCCTCGCGGGCCGTCGCGTCCTTGAAATACCGTGTAAAAGTGCTGGATTTCACGGTAGGCGTCTTGCTGGATGCCCCCTGAGCATTGGCGTGTTTTTTGGGGTTCCCCATTCTTCCTCCAGGCCTCCGATGGCGTTGGATTGCACCTCGATGTTCAGGGAGCTGAATCAGTGCACGTCCATTCAGCTCCGTGTCAGGCCACGCCCCTCCTCCGAATATAGTTTGAGCCTTTACTGAATATAATTGTTAACTGAACAATCACGTAGCTGGGCAATCAGAAGCTAATCCTGAGCAGTCCTTTTTTGTCTCTCTCCATCTCCACAGTCTCACGATGTATTCAATTACATCTTTGAGTTCAGAAATAATGCATGATGATATATTAGTGGCCATACCTTCTCTTAAAATGTCTAAGGCTTTGTGGAGGTTATGATAAGACTTTTAGGTAAGTTTTGGATGCTAAGCTCATCACTCTTTTTCTCTCAGAAACTAGCAAGTCTTTCTCTGATGAAACTACTTTGGCCAATATTGTGCTTTTGCCTAAAGAAGGCTAAGATCCAATAATAATTAGCAATTATTGGCTGATATCACATAAATTCTAATGCAAAAATTTTAGACAAAATGTATGCTAATTGACTGAACCTAATGGTCTGATTTAGCCTGATCAGGTGGGGTTTATTTGGGATAGATAACTTTTTGAAAATCCACACAGAGCTGCTCATTTAGGTCTCGATTTAATATTTTTGGATGCACACTTGAAGTGATTTAATATTTTTGGATGAACTTTTAAAATATAATTGTTCAACATATTAAAATATAAAATGTAAAATATACCAAAAAGTGAAATATTTTTCAAAATATTTAATCATTTGTATGAAAAGGCTAATAAACTGGCTCTATGTTGGCCAGAAGGCTGAAGCCGAAAACTTAGAATCCCTCCCATTAAGCGTTTAAAAGCATCAGGGGATAAGAAGCTTATCCAAAATGTTAAATTGAGGCCTTTATTTAATTGACCTAGAGCTTGGGATGCAGATAAGTCAATTGATAGGGTACTATGGCCTCTGGTTGGCCTTTTAAAGTTTTGGGCTTCTCTGAAGAGATCGCATGACCAATACATACCTTGTATAATTCTCCCAGAACCATAAATGTTGCCATCTGGCACCCTACATGCTCGTTTGTTTTTTTTTTTGTTTTTTTTTACACAAGACTAGATTGGACTGCCCCCTACTTTTAGCACTGAATCTTCATCTCTTGAATTAAAGTTATAATTCAAAATTAAAAGGGAATTTTAAATTTAAGGTCAAAATAGCTGAACCAGAACAAATCTCTAATTCTCTTCCAGTTCAGCTACCTTGACTTCTCACTTCAGTGAATAACCCTAACACTGTTTCAGCATATGCTAATCTTATGCATTCCCTTACTTCCCTACTTGACTTATCACACTTTACTGGTTTTAAAGTTAACTTAAATCTTGTGTATTACCCTTTCACTTATTGGCCCAGGACAAGGTGTAACTTGGATACAGGTTTAAGTTTCCGGTTAAGTTTCAATCCCTTTGGTACCTACTGCCAATTCAAGAAAATTAAGTCCATTTAATTATGGTTCTCTTTTTCACACTCTTAAGGCCAAACTTGCACAATGGGAATCTAACAGGGTTCATGCTATTAAAATAAATCATTTACCATGGCTACTGTTCGCCTTCAGGTTCTATCAGTTAGGCTTCTTAAGTGGGATTAAGATTGCTTTTGATTTGAAATCAATGTTTATTAAAACAAAAAAGAAGTTTTGATTTAGAGTAGGAGCTGCTACCAAAAGAGTGTAGCTGCAGTTGTCCTTCGGGAGAGTTCTGTGGGACAGCAGGAGTAAGTTGTGAAGCTGTCTTGTGATGAAGGCAGGAGGTCTTAGCTCACAAGGACGGGGAGAGAAAGAAAAAAAAAAAAAACAGGGGGTTAGAACATAGACAATATAACATAGCATTGTATGTAGCCAAACATGTAACATAGGCATACAAGAGTGTCTTTTGGAGTGGTACACATTTTGGTAGGGCAGTAATTTAAAAAAACCTTCAAAGTTGCAAATATATGGGGTATGCACAATAACTCTTCATGGGGGGAGGGAGATAACTAAGAAGGGTGAAGCTGTTGTTGGTTCAGTAGGCCTGGGGGTAAACTCAACTGTGTTTCAAAGGAAATAAGGTGCCCTGAGGGGAGTGCTGGCAGCTTAAGAAGGTTGGTGAGCTCGATCAACTAGTTGGGCAGTTTTTTGGGCAAGATAATAATCCAAACAGCCATTAAGTCTGATAATGTAATAGCTAAAGTTTTGTGAGGGGGTTGTTAGTGTTTTTATTGATTTTGGTAGGTTTTCATTGTTGTTATTTTAGTGCTGTGTACTAATATTCATCTTTGGAGAGAGATCAAATCATTCAAAAAGAAAACATCAGATGCATAACTTATGCTCATTGAATTTTACATAAAATTGTATCTATACATTTTGCTAGCAAATGTATAGATTAGAAGAAGAAAAAAAATCTATTAAAAAATAGGCTTTTCTCTCAGCTGTTAGTCAATGCATCCCAATACTATATCCCCTCCTCTCTACCGATAATCAGTGTGCTGCTTATTCTCTTCACGATCTCCATAATGAATGCATTGCTGGAAACAAG